AAGATATTAGGTTAAATTCCCAAATGCTTGGTCAAGGAGATATGTTTTAATAAGTGAGTTAAAGAAGAAAAGCTAGATACATAGGTGGGAAATTTGGGAGGGAATTCAAGAGCTTGGGGCCTCGTCAGCTGAAAGCACATCTCCCAGGTGGAGGTGATTATCATTGGGAATACACAAGTGGCCAGTATTAGCATACAAAATAAAAGTAGGCATTGTCAGTTGAGAAATAATATGCTTGATAATGACTCCAACACAAAATGATGGCAGTTGGATTTTAATTCAACTGATGACCGACTGCTCTGTTGTTGTTTATATTTTTTCTATGTTTATAAAGGCCATGTCTTTATATTTTTTCTTTTTTTGATTGCGGACTGAAATGTAAAGAAGTGTTTGAAAAACCAAGGATTGTTGAAGTTTGCCACACTTCTGAAAAGCAAGTAAACTGACACTCATTGCAAGTACTTTTTTATACAGCTATTTGTTCATGCAGTAATGGAAATCTGGTTATAGATGAGCTGGAGGCAGGGTGCTGTCTACAAATGGAAGTTTGGTCAGCAGTGAGTAGTTGATGATCTGTAGATCAGTGACCAGTTAGCAATGAAAGAGGCCTTCTGCCTGCCTCCTTGGCTCTCTGGTAGCTGAGCAGCTTGGATTTGTGAATGTTTAAAGGAGAAGCTATCATCTCAATGCAAGGACAAGGATTGTCTCCTTTCTCTGCAGTAAAAATTACCATTAGCCTGAACAAAACCGTTCATTTTTGTTCCCTCAACAGCTTCTGTAAACTGTGGCTCTTAGCCTGTAATCCAGAGACTTTGTAAGTATGAACCACACTCTAAAGTTTTGGAGTAGATTTGTAGCTCGGGTGGGTGTTGAGGTTGGTTGGCTCGTCGAGCTGGTTTCTTGTTTCGCAGACGTTACCAGCATGGTAACGAAACATCTGCGAAACAAGAAACCAGCTCGGCGAGCTAACCAACCTCAATATGAACTACCCTGTACTTTCTGCAAGCATTAGCTCCAGTTCTAAGAATGTACTGGGTAAACTGATTCAAATTGAAAGGATAATATTAGCAGTGTGAAAACAAATTTCAAGATTTTTCGAATAGAAGCATCAGAGCATTCTTATTGCCCCCAGCAAATATTCCTCTTTTTAAAATTCACATATTCTGTAGCAATGACTCAAATACATTCGTGAGGTTTTTAAAAGTGGTTCTGTTGCTTGGACTATGTTCCCAAAACTTCTTCATATGATAGTAAATCTCATCAGGGCAATTAACTGGACAAGGCAAATGCTTGCCTTCTTCAAGTAGCCAAACAAGCCTTGTGACAGTAATCTGGCCTTGAGTTGGACTGTATCCTTCTACTAAATCTTTCCCTTCCTTCAATTGCTCTGTTGAGCTGAATGACAGAACTTACAAACTCATTATGACAATGAGCTGAGCATCAAATCCACAACTTATTCTTTGCCCAAATTTGCTTTAATTTCTGCATTTCCAGCCTCCATTCTAAATACATCATCAGCATTATGGAATCCCTATTGTTACCTTTGGGCTCTGATTCCTCTGATACCCACTTTCCTCATTGGGCTCTCAGAGTTAACCTTACACAAATTTCAACACTTCCAAAACGCCTGCTCCCTACATTACATTTCCTGCATTAGCTTCTGTTCATTCTTAAGCTTCGAAATACTATTCCCACTGTTTCCCAGTGAATTCAGAATCATTTTCATAACAAATCCCCTCATGGGTATTGCCTATTTTCCACCTCTGTGATCTTCTTCAATTATACATCTCACCTCAAATCCTTTGAATCTTGAAAAATTGCATAGAGAACACCATTTGTTTTATTCGCACTGCATTGGTTGAACAGCAATGGAGTTAGACACAATCCCTGACTCCTCTCCCATATTTCTGACATTTTTCCTCCAAATTTTTTTAAAGTTCCCTTTTGAAATAAACTATTGGATGAACCTGTTCCTTCCTCAACACACTGAATGGTTCTAATATGGTTTCGCGTAATTTCATGATCAGTTTTGGTGTCTTGTGATGTCCTTTTTCACCTTAAACCATGGTGGGAACTTGCTGCTGTTGGCAATATGTTTCAGTTATTCTGTTCATACAAACAATTAAAGAGGAATCTGAAGGATACCCTATATTTTCTCACCTAGTATTTTCCCCAAACCCAATTTGGGGCTCACCGTGCCACTTAGGTTTCTTTCATTTTGCTTTACGGTAACCGAAGGCTTGACGCTGTGAGAAATGCTGGAACTGACTCAGTCTTTGAATTTTTTTTTCTCTCTCTCCTTAACTGAAAGGGCCTCGCCACTGAACATTGCCCTTACCTCATCACCAATCCATCCACAGTCATTACTGCCGGAGAAATTGACATCAAGATGCGAATCTGCCACATTACTGAATGCTTCCTTAATCGCTTTGTGTACTTATGATCCACGGTCATCTGTGAAATATCGATTCTATCAAAGCATTGTTTCTTCTCCAGTCGCTGACTTGAAATCACAGACAGGTACACATCTCCAATCTATCTGAGCATCTTTAAATCAATCCTGGAATATCCATGTACTATTGCTGAAGATTAGATATTACTCCACATGGGCCAAATAGCAATCTTGTGGACTGTGAAATTACCCGTCACGCTGATAATATATATTCTATTCTATAATTGGTGGATCCAGTGAAAGACATCTGACTAATTCACAACAATCAATATTTTCAACTAAGCACATCTTCATGCCGTTGACTCCAATGTTTTGCTTCAAAGTAAACCCACAGAGTGACTACATTTCTGAACAGAATTTTAGCATGTCCTACTTGGCTACACTGTTCTGGCTGATGGTATGTTTCCCTAGCAACATGCATAAACATTAGTCTATTCATACTCCTCATCTTTATTGGTTTCAGTAGAGTAGCCAACATAGTGATCAGTCAGTCAGTGACCGGCCTGTAACCCATGAACAAGGCTCAGGTCACGGTTACTGAGTAATGCATGCTCTGTTTTCAGTGACATATTACTACACATTATGACAATAGCATGAAGGCATCACATATATTAGCACTCTCAACAATAGCTGTATTTGATAAGGGTTGAATTAGATCTCACTGAATAGTAACTGGGTAATACTCACGGATAAAGCAGTGACACAGAATGGGATTACGTTTCAGTAGGTCCATCTGTCTCCATCCTGTCAATTTGTGGATTGGCCATGCTAAATTGCCCTTAGTGTTCAAGGATGTGTAGGCGAGGTGGGTTATTCATGGGAAATGCAGGAAATGCATGGGAAATATATGGGTTGGGATGGAATGCTCTGCGGAGGGTCGGTGTGGGCCTGTTGGGTCGAATGGCCTGTTTCCACACTGGAGGGATTCTATGGATATTTAAAGACGTTGTTGGGACATTTCTTTTATCTTGCAAATTGGACCAGTATAACTCCTGTTCTTTGCTTACATCACTACTAGTGCATGACTTGTTGCCCAATTGTGCTGGGGGTGACATCATACGACTGCATTACTTCTTTGAAACTGGATCAAGTAAATACTCCCTTTCCAAGCAAGGAGCCTAATGTGGTCTGAGTGACAAGAGATGATGGATTTATAGCAGGGTAGACACTTCAAATCATCATAGCCTGTCTGTAATGTGTGTTCTGTCAAAACTGCCTTCAGAATGATAACCTCCCACATATTGGCACCAGTTCAACCTGTGATGGCACCACCATACTCCAAATTCTGAATTTATCAAAGCGGAAACTCAGTGTTTGCTTTCAGCTTTATAATGTGAATTTCCCTGTATGTCCTGTGTCTCAGGTCTGTCCAGCTGCTAAAACAGTTAGGAACAAGTTGATCTATATTTAAAGTTTTTTTTAATTAACCAGTGAAACCGTTTTTCTTCGGTTCTCAACATTATCCCCAACTACACAAGTGTGAAGACCCTTGATAAAGGATCTTTCCATAGCACTCTTCGGGGTCCTTACCTTCATTAAACGTTTGCATCCAATCGCGTTATCCCCTTTTTGTTCAAAACCATCATTTGCAGCCTTACCCTCGGCGACTTTTGGTGGGTGGGCTCAGGTACTCTAGGTCCTTGCTTTAAGACTTGGCTGCGTCAGAGGCTGCGAGAGGCTTGAATTCTCCGCGTCAGCCGTGTTCCCGAAAACAGCTGGGAAACTTTGAATCCTCACCATCCCTTGGGGGCTGCCTTGAGAGACACCAGGAGGTTTCAGTTCTCGGCCGATAGGTCTAGGCAACCAGGGGGGTCTTGGGGTGGGCGGGCTGCACCTTGTGGGTCAGAAGGATCACTCACTGGTGGGCTGTTTCCCTGGACATTGCTGGTTCCTGCAGACTTTCTCCACCCCGTCTGTGTGTGTGTGTGTGTGTGTGTTAGAGGCGTCATCATCAAGCATTAAGCAATCTCATTTTCCTAGTCGGTCTCCTAACCTCTCTCTCTCTCACACACACACACACACCGGATTCCAACTGATCTCAGCTCTTTCTCTTTAAAAGGCAGTTACAACTGTCATCAGCCAGCTCGTTTGCAGCCCCCAGCGCCTCGGGATGTTTTATAAGGTTTCCATCTGCAGGAAAAAGTGTCACCCATCGAGAACACCTTGAGCCGCCAGCAGCCAACTCCTGAGACGTTCTCTCTCTTTGTCGCCCACATCCGACTCGCCAGCCAAGGGATGCGAATACATGCCAATGAAGTAGGCTCGGGGAATCACTTTTCAGTATCGCCGATCGGCGTTTTAATCTATAAAAGGCACCGTGGCAACATTTAAAAGACCATTCGGTCCCATCCCGAAGAAGCAAGGAACTCCACGCGGGAAGTGGGAATTCTGTAGCTGATGGCTCGTGGGAGTCGACAGGGAAAATGGTAGGGATTACACGAGGAGAGGGGAATTGGTTGGTGAACCCGAACTGAAAGGACACCCCTCCACCCCACCACCCTCCCCGCTGCCCCTCCTCCTCCACCACCCCCCACCCCCACCCCCTCCCATGGCTCCGGCAAACCCCCGTAAGGATGCCAACACATGGCCAAGTATGCCCTCAACTTTCTGGGCAGTCATCATTCTGGCTAGCTTCCTCCTCGCATACTGCAGTGAGTACCGCTTATTTATTTTCTCTCTCTCTCTCTTAAACTGTAAATTCAGTTGCAACGCCCGGTTTAGTTGACAACTGGCTTCATGTTGAATGTTGACGGTGAAATCTGACTTTGCTGTCTTATCCTTGGGGGGAGATTTGCCCACAAAACAAGGCGGGCCAGGTATTGCTGAAGAGTGTAAAATGTAGGCGAGTCTGTCTCATCACTTCTCCGGCCGAGAAACTCACTCAACTGTGGTAAAGTGGGGGAGCGCTGGTGTGTTTGCAGTCTGGAACAATATCTCGCTTTCACCCAACTCTGAGCAGTCCTCAAAGGTGTGGGATTCCGATTTCACAGCGAATTTGACGCGGTTTGTCGAGATGAATGGATGTTGACATGTAGCGCTAATTTACTCTAGCAGAGAATGGCAGCAAATCCAGCCCCCGGCTCCCCCGACTGCCGTTTCCTCACCTTTACCGCCCGGTCAATGAGCCAGAAAGTGTTCTTTGAGAGTGGAAAATTTACCCCGATCCACCCCCTACCCCCATCCCCGCTAAGAGCACGGGGAAGGACAAGTTCACATCCAGTATTCATTAACACGGGGGGATGCTATCCTATCGCAAATGTGCCGCTCTGCTCAGATTGACATCGTAAATAGGGTCCCATGTAAAGCTTCCTACTCTCACCCCGCCTTTTAAATCGGTTCTTTTAAGGAACGCTTGGTTTAATTTTTAAAATCTAGTGGATGTGCCTTTGTTAAAATGTGTTCCTGAATGGGCTTTGAAACATGTTACCTCAGCTAAACGGAACTTTTCCCCGGTCTGCACATGCTGAAATGGTTAACTCAGGCCTTGGTAGTACAGCTGCCTTTTTCATTTGCTGATTTTTATTTTTGTCCTGGTTGAAAGTGCAGATGAAAGTCAATAAATTGTTTTTTTTTTTAACTGGACCACGGTCTGTGTCTAGGATCCTGCGGCGTTTCGGTTCCAAATCCTTTCATTCCGCCGCTGTGACCTCCCTCAGAGCCCCGTCGGAGCTCAGAGAGATTGGGAGCATCTTTGAGCCTCATTCCAGCCAGCCCTTGCAACTGGAATTCTTCACAGTGAATGCAGACGTGCTGCTCGCTTTCAGCACGCAGTGCGGACATCCTTGGGTTTCATTGGGGTTGGGGGGCGGGGTGGGGGGTGGTGGTGAAAGCAGACGCTTAATGGATGAAGGAAATCTTTAGGCGCGTCCTGCAATAAACCTCATCTGTGTGTGTATGTGTGTGGTGAATAAGGACCACATCGCTGAGCAGTGATGACCGTCAATAAGGACACTATCTTTCATAAAGACTGCAGAATCTCCCCGTGTTTTAAGCCAGTCACTAGTTTAGCAACAGCTTTACCCTGTTAGGAAAGGTATTGGTGCTGGCGTGCCCGCAGCAGAATGTGAACAGTTGCGAACAGTGAATTCTCAGAGAAAAAAAACACAGACCGGCTGTTGCAGTACATATGTACTCAACTTTTTTTGTCTTCCCCAAGTCAGTAGTCTGAAAGCATGTAAGAAAATGCAGAATGATGCAAATCGGTGATCATGAACCTGGGCAGCCCCTGGATGTTGATAAACCGGGAGCTGGGGTGACATCTCTCGGTTTGTAGCTCACAGCGAAACTGCTTGAGAGAAAGCGAGCGGGCAGTTCGTTCAGGTTTATTTGTTTTTGGTGGGGTGTGGGGAAGTGAAGTCACGGAGCGCGGTAGGAAACAGTTAAAACTGCTGTGCAGGCTTTATTGATCAATGTTTACCTGTGGAGGATGCAGCTTGGATTTGACTGTGAGAGGGAGAAGCGGGATAGTTTTATGTTACTGTGGGTCACAGTGTTTCAAATACTCTCTGTGCCTTTCTCTACAATCACCCATAAATCTTCCCTGAAGTCGTAATAGGCGACACACCAGCTTCCACTCGCCTTTGATATGAATAATAATTTAATCAGAGAAAATACGGAACAATTGCTGCGTCTTTCAATCCACCACAGGGACATTTCCCAGTCTCCAGCCTGTCTCCTCCGATTAAATGTCACCGGCGTTTATTTTCATATCTGCAATACTCATGTCAATATTTAAATCCAGTTAATTCCAGAAGGAGCGCAGTGGTTTGCAAAGCAGTAATAAAAGAAAATAAGTTAACATTCTCCTTAATGGCCCCTCAAATATCTGATGTACAGACTGGGTCTGTGAAACAGAAGTGGCTTATTGCGAGCAAAAACTGAAAGGCGATGACTGATATATTAACGCAGGCGCCGCCAGCCCCAGCCCAGCCCAACGCCCGAAATAAGGAGAAAGGAGCTGTTTATTTATGTGGATGCCTCCGCTCTCCCACCCCCAGTTTTCCAGCTGCCGGTACTTGAGAATGCATGCAGTCTGTACGCAAGAGGGAAATGATTACCGGCAGAGACGGCGGGGATGGAAGCAGAAGTTAAGATTGTTTCATAATCGTCGGATACCCTGTCGTGCAGCCGACACCGACATCCACTGTCCAGTGTTTTGTTATGAACACGCCAGGGTTATTGTTTTAGATTGGTACCAAAAGCCAGGTATCCTCGACAAACGAAAGAGTCGTTGGTGCCTTCCAATGGCTGGATTTAAAAGTGCACCTTTGTCCGTTGCTATAGGGACGCAATGTAGGTTTAAATGATAAAATTCAGGTGGCTGAATTCAGACCTGTCTTAAAAGGGATAAATCATAAGGAGCATAAAGGAAAGCTTCCATCCAGCCCTGTTCCTGTGAGCTAAAAATTCCAGCTTTCTGTAAAAATCAGTAAAGGGCACCAGTACCTTGTCCAGACTTATGCAGGATGTTTAGGGTAGATTAAATGTATTCACAATGAGGCACTTAAAGAAACCAAAATGAAAATACCTTTCTTGTATGTTAACCTATACGTTACAATAATGTATAAATAAGAGAAAAAAATGACAGCTGCATTATTTTGATTTTAGTTTGCAGCGTTCACTTGCTTATCTACTGGATGATGTACCCTAATTAATTGCAAAAAGTCAATTTACAAATACAGCTGAAGTAGAATAGCAGGTCAAGTCTGAATTGTTACTGCTCCAAACAAACACATTGAACATTTCAGCTCCTTGTTTAGTGATAAAATGATTTGCCCATATGCACATGTACAACTGAACATTTGTTTCATTAAAACTTGTCTTTGTCTGGTCACCTTTCTTTATCATAACTCTTGAAAAAGAACATCTTCATGTTATTAAACAGTCCTCATTTCTGTCAAATTACATACGCATGGCAGCTATACTGCACTGGTGATTTTCTTTTAAAAAAGCTTTAACATTTAAATATAGTCAACAAAACAGAAACTAATTATGTTAAAGACTGTTAACACTGTGATTTGGATTTCTGTGTACACTGTTCAAGGTTGAATCTCAGAATTTATGACATCAGCCAAGTTGTTTATCCCAGTGTAATTAGTTTAATCTGCTTTAACAACAAACACGCAGTGTGTTTACATGCAATGGCTGTGTCAGTGCATTTTCTGCCTCAGAGCACCCTGTTATACAATAATACCTTTCGCCCATATAACCATATTATGGTATTAATGCAATGTTTCAGAAAGCATGCATGTGCTTATCTTTCACTACATATCTGTTTCTGTCAATTAACGTCACTACAGTGTAAACCAAGCTTTTCAGAATAGCTCAGTGATCTATGTAGCACTTAACAGGCTACATACATTGGTCTAGAATGATTGCTGCTCCTAGTTGTCTGCATTTTACAATTTTATTTTTTGAACTTTTTTTTCTAAATAAGTGGTGTACAATTCACTAGGATATAAAATATATATTATTGAAAAAATTAGACTTCAAGGTCGTGAAATATATGACCATTCCTCAATTCTAGTGTTGTTGTGCTGGCAGGACTGAAAAGTGGTGGGATTCTTGGCTACATTTTACCAACAGTGGTGGCAGTCTGTGAATCTGCCAAGAAGGGGAGGGCACTGCTATGTTGAGGTGAGCTCCACTGTCAGGTGAAGTTGCTGAATCAACGGGCCCCAGTGACTAGAGGGTGAACCACCCACTCACACAGCCAGCCACAATGGTAGCCCTGCCTGCCTCAAAGCCCACTCTATACCAGTAACCATGAAGGAATTAGCCTCCTATCTGAGGGAAGCCACTGGGAGATGGCCGCCATAGTTTAGCAATTGTCTGACCACACAACGCCACTCCAGCTAAATGGCAGCAGGGGCAGGAAGTATACCCCCGTCACTGAGAACGCCCCCCCCCACCCCCATTTCTGTCCTTACACCAAGCCTCTCAGCCCATCAGTAGAATCTACCCTGCTCCATATCGATATTTGTAGCCTGACCCCATTTCTCAGAAAGGTGGGAGACAATGATAGTTTTATTATGCTTTGTTTGCCATTTTTGATGCTATAAACAGGTACTGTGGTATCTGCAAATTTCAACAATTTATTTTAGTAAATGCTGTAAAAATACCAGAATGAGCATGGGATCACTTGCATCAAAAGGTTCATTAAAATGTTTAAACTCAGAAGTTGGTATTAAAAAATGAAACATTTCCATCTTGTTTGCCCGTAATCAGCATCCCATGATTGTTACCACTAAATGCAAAGTGCTAGCTGTGCCTCCATTGTTAGCAAGTTTGTGGGTTTAAAGTCTACTCCAGAAGCTCAACACCAAGATCAAGGCTAACATTCTAGTATAGTACTGCAGGAGTGTGACACTGTCAGAGGTTTTGAGAAACAAACATTACACTGTGGCTCTAAGACCCCTCTCAGTTAATATCAAAAGAAGTCATGTGGTATTATTCTAAAGAAGGGCAAGGAAGCCACACAGTGTCCTGGCCAATACTTACCTGTCAATAAACATCACCTAAAATAAAGCATATTAATTAGTCACTGTATTGCTGATTGTAGGAGGTTGCTGTGCACAAGTTGGCCTGTGCATTTCCTATATTACAAACAAATTGATCCTTCAAAAATACTTCTTGGTGTTCAGGTATTTTG